AAGAAGCTAATGATAGGATACTTCGCAACGCACGATTAAAAGGAAGTACATTCTGCCTCTTACAAAACAACTATCGTTCAATTTCTCTTTCTAGCTCTTTAGTGATCACTCGAACAAAAATTTATCTCTCGGTCGGTACATAAATACAAAAGAATTATTTAGCTACGAAAGGCTTGAAATACAAGATTATCCTTTTAATAATTTCCTCTCTTATCCCACATTTTCTTAAATCTGCTCTTTCGAATCCTTCTGAATTCCAATTTCAAAGAATATTCCATCAATATTACGAAAAGAACCTGTCGAGTCCATCGAAATTTTGCTTCGAAGAATTTCCCATTTAAATTTCAGAAAGAGAAACGTGAGAAAATAACATCCTCGAAAGATCTTAACCGCAAAAGAGGAGGAATTGCATCGAAGTGATCGATGCACTTTGATATCTCCGTACAAGCTTTTACAATTTACAGACGAAGAAGAAAGAAGATACTGGGAGTGACATTTGCGCAAAAAGGCCAGAGATTCGTATTGTGAGGATCGTTCGAATCGCGGAAAATGTCGCCACGATCTCCCTCGATCGCAGACCGAGCACGTCGGGGGTCACTGAACCCCCGTAGAAGTAGAAAGTCTTGGAAATGTCAGGGCAACGAGGGACACTGGGGGGGGGGGGGGGGAGGAGATGGCGACAGTGGTTCTCCAAAGTAGGTTCTGCCACGTTGTCTCTCCCTCTTCCCCACGTCTCTCGTCGTGATCGAGCATCGTCGTTTCACACGTCCTGCCTTTTCGTTCATTTATGCTTGTGAATCGTGATCCGCGATCGTGATCGACACCACTTCCGGACGATAACACCTCTGTACGTGTTTCGTAAAACTTTCACGTTGGCTGAGATTGCCTTGTGAATTTCATTTTACAACCAAGAAGCGAGAAGATAGAGAAAATGTTGCTGTTTCTAGAGAACATGAGAATCTTTTCGATTTTTTATGATCATCGGAGTTCGAAGGTTGTTTAATTTTAATTTGGCCGAGGCTTCTGTTTAGTTAAAGCTAAGCTTGGCTCGAGAGCTGAATTTTTTTAGATTTCTCACGATTGGATGAGTTTGAAGATTGTTTAATTTTGCTTCGTTGTATGTAAGATTGGCTGAAGTGTCGATGTAGCAACTACAGAATAGCCGTTTGACGCGTCTTGTTGCCGCGCCAGGCGTTGAAATCACCACCAGCCTTTCATGGCGCCCAGCCGTGTCTCGATTCTGTGACGTTCGAGACGTTTGTGAAACTTCTACGAGAGACTTTTGCGATTCGTTTTTCACTGTTGTACACTTACAGATTCGTCTAAAGAGATTCCTCGTATATTTTTGTGTCTTTGGAGGATAATTAAAGTGGAATCGACTTGGATGAAAAGACGAATATTTGTAGTGAAAATTTGAAATAAATCGGATTTTCTTTGGAAGAATAGCGGAAAGATTGCTTCAAGAGAACACTAGACGATCCTTGACCCGACAGTTCTCGTGGAAACTCGCTCGATCGAGGAAACTTTGTAATCGTCGGAAACAACTTTCACCAGCGGTAAGCATTTGAAGAATCGCAGTACAACACTGCCAGGTGGTACTTTTCAACGAGAAATCAACTTCTTCACCAAAGAATCTCAATTTTCTAATCGAACTCTCACTGCAGGATCGATATTTAATCTCAAACTTCTTAAAAAAAGAAATTCCATGCAAAAGCAAAACCTTCAAACGTCTAAGATAATAGTCGAAATTTAATTTTGAAGAATGTCGATTCGAACCTAAGCCTAGAACTTTCGAACTTTGAGAAAAACGATATCAAACTCGACAAAAATGAAATCCTTTCGAATGATTCCTCTAAAAATCCTGAAAAATCTATCTGTTGCTTTAAAGTCTAAGACGAACATTGCCAAACTTCCGTAAAAATTAGATCTTTGAGAATAACTCCTTTGAAAATCCTCAGAAATTTAACTGTTGCTCCGAACTTCACGCCAAACGATATCAAACTTGTGCAAACGTTAAATCCTTTCAAATCATTTCTCCAGAAATCCTCAGAAATCTACTTGTTGCCTTGAACCTCAACCCAAACGATATCAAACTTCTACAAAATGAAATCCATTCGTACAATTCCTCCGGAAATCCTCAGAAATCTACCTGTTGCTTCAAACTCCAAGCCAAACGACGTCAAACTTCTACAAAATGAAATCTTCAAGAATCTACCTGTTGCTTCGAAGCTCGATAAATGGCGAACGGAAACGCGGAAGAGCCAAATGACAGCAGGGTGTACTCACCGGCAGACAGAAAGAGGGATCCAAGAAGGAACAGGAACTTCGGCGACATCGTGGCCGTCGTCGTCGTCGTCAGAACAAAGAGCGTCTGGACAAGCCGCGCCCTCTCGCCCCTCTATATGTGGACCACCACTCCTTCCTCATCGTCCAAGGACTTTCACCATCCGTACGGTGCTGCCACCTTTTCCACGTCGTAAAACACATTCGTTGGGGCAAGGGGGTCTATTCCTTCCGTCTGCCGTTGCTGAAGAACGAGAGGGGACCGTGGAATTCCGTTTAGTTTCGATCTTCCTTGTTTTTAGGTATACTACTTGCGGTTTCTGGTGAAAGATCGATCGAGACGAAGATTGTTCGAGATCGTTTTGGAGATTGTTAGAAGCGATTCGATACTCTCTGTCCTAAATCGACGCCTTTGTTCTACTTTCTTTGGTCTACCTGCTTTTCTAGTCGTTTGATGATCTCGTTCTTTCTTTCTTCTTTTTTTTTCTTTTTCTTTTTTTTTTTGAGGAGTAGGAGAGGAAATCTGAGGATGACGGCTTGGATTTCTATTGTACTGGATGTTGAAGATTTTGTGAAGGGAATATTGTTATACTGTGTTTTTTGGAACAGTTTATTTTCAGATATCTATCAATTTTTTATTCATCTTTTGAGAAATATTTTTTGGTACTTTCTGTAATTGTTACAGTGCAATTTGTTTAATCAACAGGTGCTTAAGATTTCAATCTCATGGAAAAGTCAGAAGATTATGTTTTTCTTTAAGTTTTCTGTCCCAGCGGCTAATTCCACTTTTTCAATTTGTCCGATTGGAGAAAAGATCAAGATTGGTGCTTAACTTTCTATAAATGAAATGAATTTAATAGAACAAAGTATCAAATTGGAACTCAAGCTCAACAATCCTGAATAAATTACAATCTTCCTGCTTCAACTCTAGCTTTTCCATTTTCTCTATACAGTTTTCCAATTTCTGCAATGGCGAAACACTTTGAATCCTTCAGAATTCATTTTTATGGCAAATGGATGGGCAGATAGCTTTTATCGGCATAAATGGACCCCGAATGACATTCCAGGTCCGCGTTACGAGGTTCCTGTCCGAGTGAAAATGCACTTTACGCGTCGTTTTACGGTGTTCCATGAAAACACCGACTGACAGCGGACGAAAAAAATGCAGCGCGCTCGTAAAACTCGCGATGAAAGTATCTGTCGGCGTGCTCGAGTAACTTTCCACGAAAACTGTCTCACATGACTCTTCTATTGACGCGACGCAAACCTTGAACCTTTTTCTCGATTTGATCAAAAACTCATTTACCATCGATAAATTAATTACCATTACCATTAATTACCATTAATACGCTATTATTCCTAATATCAATGTCTGTTATTAATAGTTTTAGTTGAATAGTAGATTGAAGAATTATTAAATGTCTCTCCAGACATTACTGCAATATTGGTGTCAATTACTAAAGATCAATCCGATGTTCCGTGTGAGTAATACGATACACAAGTGAATAAATTGAATCGATCAATAGATGCCTGAGTGGAGATAAATTAACGTGTGCTTTCCCTGTTTTTACCCTCGTGGAATACAAGTGCGACACCTAGGTAGACAGGAAGCTTTTCCTTATCCCCTTTTCTCCGTGAATTGCATAATTATTAACACGAAAGATATTATACATTCATTTTCCACCTAATTTTTCAATGAAACATTCGAAAGGAATTCTTCCCAAACATAAAGTAATCCAGTACAATCACGCTTCAATATCTCTAAACTAGGGCTATAATACTTCGAATAGTCGAATTATTCGAATAGTTCAGATAATTTCGAATATTGTAATATTCAAAGTGTACGAAGTATTCCGCACAGTACGGAAATTCGGACACTTTGAATATTCGACAAAATTTGAAATTCAAACGCTTCGAATATTCGACAAAATCTGAAATTTAAATGCTTCGAATATTCAGCATAATGCGAAATTCTAACACTTGGAATATTCGATCCACTTCCCCGATAAAAGCCTGCGAAGAACTCTGAAAGATCTACGAAGAAAGCTTCAAGAAATGTGAAACGGGCGAGGTGAGCATACGAATCATCAATCCTCAGGACACGCGCTCCTTATCCCTGCGGTAAGGAAGCTCTTCAGAGGAATTCTTTATTTCCCACTTCCATTTCGTTTGCTTTTACCAGGCGCCACGCGTGGCACCGTGAATTATTAACGAGCTTTCCAAGTATGCCTGCCAAAATAATTCTCATTTTTCATTCTTCCCCCTTTTTCTCACTTCTTTTCTCAGTCTCTCTCTCCTCTTTGCCGATGTTACCGTCAGCGTGGCAAGTTTGCGCAACACGTTCGTCCATCTGGATGCACCGGGTGGTCAATAAATTTGCGGTTTACGCGGTAAAAGGTTATCGACGTCGTTCCAGCGCGAAATAATCTTCGCGAGGGACGTACTATTGCGTTAGAGGCTCGACGCATACCGCAATCCACCGAACAATCACAATTGATTCGACTTTATGAATAGAAAACCCCTGAAATCACTGTGTGTACATGTGGAACGATTGCGTTCCCTACGATTTCGTTCGGTTTAATGGCCACGAAGGACTTTCGTGCTTTCTCGATACCAACATGGCGGGCGTGCAGAGGGTGGGGACACGTGGAAGGTCGACATTTTTAACGGAGAACGGTGCTACGATGGGTTGACAATAGAAACGACAGATTTTAAATTCCTTATATACATTGAATTACAGAAATTGTTAAGATGCTTTTGTCCAAGTGTACGGTGATTTTTATTGAAATAGAGAAATAATCCTTACTCTCAGTTAACACTGGAATAACCAAACCTATCAAAACGAAGAATTTCAGAATTCTTACGTTAAATTACAGAAATTATTGAGAAACTTTTACCGAAGTTTATGGTGACTCTTGTTTTTTTTAAATACAGAAATAATTACACATACTAATTTATTTTCCTGTTTCCCATTTAACACTAGATACACCAAATTAGTCATAACGGCGGATATCAAGTTTCTTACATTAAATTGCAGAAATTATCGAAGTGCTTTTGTCCAAACGTATGTTGACTTTTGTTGAAATGAAGAAATAATTATATACGCTAATTTATCTTCCTGTTTCCCAGTAATATGCTAATTAGGAGTATTATCGACATGCTTTCATCAGGATTGGTATTCATCGATGACGCGTTATAATGGTTCCGCGAAATTGCTACATGGGAACAAGGATTCACAGCACGCACTGTTCCCAATAACAGAATCGTTACGAAAGCAAGGATTCGCATAGCCTGCTCGTTTCGAGATCGATCGAGCACACTCCGGTTCCCATCGACCATCGGTGTGTCTCTTACCTTTATCTCGACACGTTCCTTCCACGAACAGGCGAATTACGTTCGAGGATTTAGAGGCGTTTCGTTCCCCAGGATTAATAAATCCCGAGATAACGTGAACCTGTTGCAGATAATGCTTAATAACACCGGCGTGTTCCGATCCTGCCGTATAAATTGCCCTGTCCTGGGAAATATAAGACAATTTCGCGGCGATAAGAGAGGGAAATAGTAGAGGAAATGAGATTTCACAGGATAACAAAGATGTTAACGTTGCAACTGATACTTGTGACCTCTGAATTTAATTAAACAATTGAAACATTTGAACAGAGAAAACGAAAAGAGGAAAATGAAACCCTTCGAAGCCTGAGAAATTTCTCTTTAATTTTCATTTTGGAATGAATATTAAGAAAAAAAAGTTTCACTGGATTTAGTCGCTTCAAATTATTATACATAGGGTGATTTAAAATTGAAAGGATTAAAAGTACGACTAAGTGTCGGTACTCCCTCAGACATCAAAGGGTTAACACATTTCATTGAAACAATCATATCACATGCAAAAGAATATCGAACGAGTTCCCTGAAACGAGCATACGCAGAAAAATGAAGAAACAGAGATATCGCGAGATATAAATCTCTAGAAAGACAATAAGATTCGAATCGGAATAGAACAGTTTCACCCAGTAATGTCGCAAAGAGCCTCTAATTGCAATTAACAAACACTTCGCACCTGTAACCTTCTAAACAGGCCAAAAGGACAACGCAAGAAATAATGACGACGATGATGATGATGAATTACCATCACAGATTTCCCACTTTGCACACCTCTTTATATTTTTCTTTCTTGCAACGCTGGACCAATCTTAGATTACGTCCTCTGTAAGTATACTTGCATTTTATTCGAACGAAATTTCAAACGTCGTTCGAGTGGAAAGGAGAGTGAATGTGGCAATCATCGAGTGGAGAAGGAAGAAATAGCCAGCTGCATTCGGAAAGTTGCGTGAAATGCTTCGTGAACTGGAATGCTAATGATGAAACGCGAAATGCTAATCGATCTGAAAGGGGGATTCGCCGTGAAAATGGACCAAGTGCGTTGCTAACTCTGTGAAAATACCAGGCATAATTAACCGGATCCAAGGAAGATAAAGACTGATTCACCTGTGTGATAATGTTCCACGTAAAGATTGCACTATCGTGTGATTTTTTACGACCATTTCGTAACGTAGCTTCTAACAGAGAAGAGGAGTTAAATCGTTTTGACATTAAGTTTGGAATTTTATTGGAGTATGAGTAAGGGGATAGAACACAGTTCTCTGTAAGAACAAATAAGTTACGGAGAGTAATTTTTCGTCGTTAGTACAGGGGAGAGTTGGTGGAAGATATTTCCTACTGTGTTTCTTGCCTCGAAATTTTTCATTCGCATTTTATGGTACTTAGTACTATCCGGTTATCCTTTTATGGAACGTAAAAAAGTTTATTGCAAACTCTTTTTGTGATGTAGGTTAAATGATGCGCTTTAAAAAATTTAACTTGATACAGGGTGACTTATAAGTTGCTTCGCTTGTTTAAAGATTGACTAAACTTGAAATAAAGTCTGAAATAAAAATTTTGAAGCGTATACATAAGTAGAATGAATTATGGGCCACCTTGTATAACTTATATTTCGTCAGGAGCAAATTTATTTATTTGCAATTTTTTTATCAGATGTTCTATTAAAAAGCGACGAATTTGATGGAAAAA